GTAGTTTAATTGTTTGTATTATCATGATTATTGGTGATAAGGATGGTAAAGTGAAGATTTTTACGTGTTACAGTACATTTTAAGTCTTGCTCCTATAAATGTCCCTATGGGACAAGAAGTCCGACAAGTTGGACATCTGCCCGACTGTAACTACCCCTGCAGTGATATTACCTGTGTAATACCTTGCTGGAAGGTCACAAATTAATCTGTAGCTGTGATTGATAAATTTGTAATCTTACCTGTAAATTTTAAAGATTTATGGATGATATAATCCTGTAACATATTTCATTGTTTTAATCATGTTAATAGATAAAATTACGGATAAAAAATATGGCACAATATTTTTATTTATAAGCTATGAACATCATGAACATCGAAATTGAGTATTTCAACTAAGCTAAATATTTCAACATGCTAGATATTAGTCAAGTACAAATCCAATGAAATCAATTGTAATTTACTGAAAACTACAGAAATTAATCAGTTTTTAAAAATAAACTTTTATTTTTCTTCCGATATCACGTTTCCTGTAAGAGCCTCTACGTTTATTTTCTCATGTCAATCATTGCTGGAATTTGACCCTGGTCAACCAAATCAATTGTGCGGATGATACTAGTAGATATATATATGATATTTCACTGTCTTTATAAAAGAAATTACAGATGAAAAAAACGGAACAGGATATTATTATTTTTGTTACTACATTAAACCTTTCTAAACAGAAACAGTTAAGATAAACATCAAAATTTTTCAATCCCACTAAGTTTCATTTATAATTGATATCCTTGTCATCAATCCTGAATAAATCATTTGTGATTTTTTATCAAAAATCAGGAAATTAATAAGTTTTAAAAAATATACTTTTAATTTTTCTTCCCTTATCTCGTTACCCGTAAGCGCCTTATCATTTAGTTCTCCATTAATCAATACACTTATTTGACCCAGGCAATCCAAATAATGCATGTTTACCGTTAAGTAATTTCCCGCCAATCTTAGCTCGTGCAGTCCTCAGGCTTTTGTAAATTGTTGTCAGCTATAAAATAAGTGAGGTCAAGTTCATTTTAAGATTTAATTAAAGACACATGTCTTTAATTGATACTACTGATTAATTAAATTTAATTATAAATAACAGCTTTGTTTGCATTGTGTCAAACAAATTTACCTAACCAGTTATTTAATGATATTAATGGATTGAAATGTGTGGTTAATTTTTAATTTCAGCTACTATACAGTATTTCACCAACTTGTTCAAGAATACTTTTAATTTGAAATGTTACTCATTGAAATGAAATGAAATGAAATTATACATATTTTATCATATTTATATTTGAATTGTATAAAAATGATAAACAAGTTAACAACTGTCAAATGGAATTTTTCATGAAATATACGGCGTTGGAGGAGATGCATAAAATTCATTGATAAAACATTGGCTTTTCTTTTCCCGTAAGAGCATTATCATTTATTCTTCTCTATCGATTGTTACACTCATTTGACCCTGGTCATTTAAATCACTCGTGTTTAACATTAAACAATTTCCCGCCAATCTAAGCTCGTGCAGTTGGCAGGTTTTTGTAAAATGTTGTCAGCCAATTCTAACATTTTTATAAAATGATTGATGGAGGTCAAGTTTATTTTACGAATCAATCAAGTGATTTTAAATGATATACTGATTAATTGAATATATTGGAATATGTTTCTTAATGTTTACAATGCCGTCAACATGCGTTTTATTTATTCCTTTCTTTTTCATTCGTTTTATTTATTCCTTTCATTTTCATTCGTTTAATAAAAAGTAAAATCACAAAAATACTGAACTCCGAGGAAAATTCAATCAGAAAGTCCCTAATCACATGGCAAAATCAAATGACAAAACACATCAAACGAATGGACAACAACTGTCATATTCCTGACTTGGTACAGGCATTTTCAAATGTAGAAAATGGTGGATTGAACCTGGTTTTATAGCGCTAAACCTCTCACTTGTACGACAGTCTCATCAAATTCCCAAATAACAGCTTTATTTGCAATCGTGTCAAAATATTGCGTATCTGATTTTAACGGTATTAATGGATTGTAATGCGTGATTAATTTTACGGCTTCTCACCAACTTGATAAAGAATACTTTTAATTTGAAATGTAACTTAATGAAAGGAAATTGTACTTATTTGAATTGTATAAACAATTGAAAATTGCATCTTTTCTCTTGGAAATATTTTTTCATGTGTCATCGATTTTTAAAAGAATAAATGAGCTATAAATCATGGCTTCCAAAACGGTCATATATTTCGGACAATTATGTATTTACCGGATATTGTCCGCCTGGAGAAAGCATGAACCGGACATCTACTTTTTAGTTTTCAAGGCCTTCTTCATTTTAACATAATTCGCGATCTTTTTGTCCCAACCTTTTGCCTTAAACAGCCACACCTTTCCGGTCATAAAAATTGACATGATGATTAAGTACTATCAAAACAACCCCTACTTAAATACCTTCTCATTTTAATCAAGGCTAATTAGTTGTCGGACAGCTGAAATTTACCTGTTCAGGTGACAGGTAAACAATTTTGTACCAGACATTGATTGGTCTATTCAAAGTTATTTTCTTACATTTCAGCAGTTTGCATCTAATGAATTTAGTCTAAAAGATTAAAATTATCAGAAATACGTTTATAAATATGATTTGATGAAAGATTTAAAAAGGTTTTAAATGAAAAACCGTCAGAACCACATTGTTTGAACTAGAACACGTATGCACATGTGCGCAGGTGGGAAATTTAATTATGCATCCTAATTTTTTCAAAAATGCTAAAATTATCATTGATATCTTTAACTTTCGTTCATTTCGAGTATTTTCTTGAAGAAATAACGTGGAAAGAGCTACAAGTTTACGCTCAATCGTGCTTTGTAAACGTACACGGATTTTACGTATCCGTCACTGGTCCATGTTTTACCATTGTCAAGTCAACATCCGGTATTAGGCAAATGTGCTTTTCAAAACGAAAGTAAACTTTTTGACAACGTTATTTTGCACAAATAAAGAGTCTTAGGCAGATATAAGTATGCTGATGTTGCACACTTAGAATGGTGCACTGCCAATTTAAGTGTTTACGTCAGAACTTCGAATTTATATCAAAGTAAAGTTTAATATCGTGTTTTTTTAATATCAATCATTGGGATTGCCAACTGATTACCATAATTGCCTTTTGTTATTTAGTCTTAAGGGATCAAAATCGGGATTGGCATTAAATGTCCGGCTGGCTCAAATATTTTTTGGAAGCCCTGCTATAAATATAAGAATAATTAAATCTTAATTATAGTTATAAATATATATATACAATATCTGAAAAGAACTATAATTGTTATCAGTAGAATCGTTATTCTCGGAAATCCAAGCGACTTTTTGTCACTTCACAGGAGAGAGCAAACAAAAAAAAGATCACTGGTACACATTGTTTTAAAATGAAATTAACTTATTTACTATCAAAAATCAATACAACTACGATGTAGGTGTTCCGCATCTGGTCATAAATGAAATTACATGGGGAATGACAACTTGTGTCAATTTAATACCTTTGGTTTTATCGCTACATATAGTGTATGCTATTTTAGAATTGAAGGATAAGAAATAAGTACATATTTAATTAAAAGTTATTTCTCTATTTTTCAATTGTATGATTTATTTTCATTATTACAAACGGACCTAAACAAGTTTTCATATTAATTATTTACACAATATGCACAAGTCAATGTATATGTTCATCCCGAAGTTATCAAATTTTGATTGCTCACATCATTTAAATATATAATACCTATAGCTGATTGATTGACCACTATAGAAATGTATTAACATCGGAACAAATCTTTTAACTTCATTTGAATATGCTGAATACAATTTTTGAGTTGTAATTATTTGTCAATCAGTTTGAAATTATTTAATTGTCACAGATTTGGGTTCAATTACATTAATATTATTGGAATGTAATTAATTAAATTACACATTACATTGCAAAAATGATCAATTACATTAATTACCATTACACAGTTTTTGAAATGTAATTGATTAAATTACAATTACTTTACTAAAGTAATTAATTAAATTACACATTACATTTTATCACAATTTTATTAAACAATAGATATGTTATGAACAATATATATATAGCATGTTTAAAATATTCACGTCAGCTTTCAACACAGTTTAAGCATTGCATTTGATCATCATTTAGCCTGCATCTCTATTATTGTCGGCACCCATGACATAAATGGTTTGCCGCAATGTGTATCGATTTTTCCCACGGTTATAGTATTTATAGATTGTAACAAACTTTTGGAGCACATGTTTTATTGCAGAATTTCATGAAATATTTTATGGACAGAATTTACAATGATGTACTTTCCGTTACATGAATGAGCAAAAAGGAAACATTTATATTATTGATATTTATATAAAACGTAAAAAAGACAATGTACATGTAACATTATATGCACGTTTCTCTGCGTGATAATGAATATCTATGTAAATAAATGGTTGAAAACAATGTATTTATCCTTATTTTTTATAAATAAATGATAAATTCTATAGAACAAATTGTAAAAAAGTTATTTCAAGATTGAAAGATAATGCTAACAACCATTGACAACAGAAAAGAGAAAAACAAATTATTACACGAATATGAAGAAGAAACTTAAATTTATTGTAAGAAGTTACATCAATATAATTTTGTCAATTGCATCCAACAAGATGATTATCATGTATTAATCCATTTACTGGTCAACACAGGTAGATAAAAAGCTTTCAACCGTAACAGACCGATTAACGCGTGCTGTCTTTAGTGGTGGTTAAGGATGAAAGGGTTCATGTGGTAGCATTACCTGTCTATCATTTAATTTATGACTGTCGGGCATATGTCGCATATGAGATCTGGGACATGTCAGATGTCCGACTATCGTCATAGTAAGACTCAAAATGTACTGTAGTTTGTTTGTTTGTTTTATAGGTGATATGGATGGTAAAGTGAAGATTTTATTTGTTATCATCAGTTTATTGTTGTTGGAAGTTTTCTGTCAGCATACTATGTACCAGTTCAAGCGTTACACTTACAAAAAGAAACGTGATGTAAGTTCTTTGAAATTTGGAATACATTTTAATATGTATATACATGTACATCATGTACATGTACAAAGTTTTTTTATTTTGCAAAATGTTATTGTTTATAATCTTTTAATCCACAGACACAATTTCTTTTTCATGGTGGACTGTCATTTATCAACAAATAAAACTACAAACTCAATGATAAAAAAAAAATATTAATTTATTTAAGGATCCTGATCCTAAGATCAAAATATTGACACAACTTGATACTTTTAATTTTATCTTAATTTGGTGCTTTACTTTCTCTTAGGACTTACACACAGATGTTTTACAGTGATCATTGAGAGATATATTCTTGGATAGTATAAAAACAAAGTTTTAAATCAACTGCCCATAGTTTTGACGGGACCTAATACATTCAACTATTGAATTCGGTTCCTTACCTGGAAGAAGGAGAAGAAGATGAAGAATTTAATTTTTAGGATTTAATAGTTCAGATTTGCTATTTGCATATTTTTATAAGGCTAAACCTAACTTTTTTGAATTTAATCAACAGTTTGTTTCATTAAAGTCTTGTATTCTTTTATAGGATAAAAAGTATAGAAGTGCCAAAAATCCTTGTGAAGGTAGACCCGACTGTCTTGCTCATAAAGGTGTGGACCAATTAATGTGTGTCAGAGAGTGCATGTCAAAATTCTGCTTTGATGAACTGTACAAAAATGACCTAGTAAGTGTATTGCGTAACCACTTAAGTATATAAAAGTCAGTGTTAAGATTTATCTTTGTAGTAATGTACAGAAATGGCACTGTAGATATAAAAAAAGAAGATATGGTATGATTGCCAATGAGACAACTCTCCATAAGAGACCAAATGACACAGAAATTAACAGCTATAGATCACTGTATAGCCTTCAACAATGAGCAAAGCCTATACAGCATAGTCAGCTTTAAAAGGCCCCGAAATCACAAATTTAAAACAATTCAAACAAGAAAACTAACAGCCTAAAAAAAAAATATGTAACACAGCAACAAACAACAACCACTGAATTACAGGCTCCTGACTTGGGACAGGCACATACATACAGAATGTGGTGGGGGTTAAACATGTTAGTAGGATCCCAACCCTACCCCTAACCTGGGACAGTGGTGTAACAGTACAACATAATAACGAACTATAAAAATCAGTTGAAAAGGGCTTAAATCATCAGATGGATACAAATAGAAATACATCTAACAAAAACACAGAGTTGATGTGACCAAGTTCTTGTACATCCAAACAACAAAAAGACACTAAGTACAGATCTGAGTGTACTCACAGTTACTGACAGCTAGTTGAAAGCCAGTAACAACTAATAAAAAAAATCCTGCATCTAAGACTAAATTATCAATCAGTACACATCCAACATCCAATGGATTTAGTAAAGACGTCATAAACAGTCTGAGAAAAGCATGACCTTGTGCAATGCCAAGATACATGAGTCGACTTATTGTAGATCCATGAAAGTGCATATGTACATGTATATAACAATAATATTTAGTTTGCTTTTAATTAACTGATAACAAAATCAATATTAATACCAATAAAAACAATAGTCAAAGATCTAATGACAGTGTTGATCTATATTATATGACAAATCTATATTATCAGAGTAATAAATTAGGAGATATGGTATGCCTGCAAATGAAACAACTATCAGCCAAAAACCATTAGACTAAAGGACAAGGATGTAAAAAATTGATTAAATTAAACTTACTTTGAAGAACTGTAAAATATAACCTTTGCAGTCCAGAACAGAGAAAAGGAATAAGTTTGTCTGAAAATCCCTATTATATTTCTGTTCATTTTGCAGGTTATAGAAGTGCATGTTCATACACATTGTACATGCACTTCTATATGTTCAAAGATAACATTAAAACTATCAATTTCATTATCTATTATAGATGAACTAGTACATGTAAGTCAATGTTGATTGGTTTCTGAGCTACATTGTACTATATTTTAACCAGTGTCTTGGCTGCTTTGCCTGTTAGGCTACCATTGCTTTGACCATTTACCCAGCTGTACTTTTTACTTTGGGACACACTTACCTGTCTCTTAGAGAGAAACAATATATATTCTATTACATGTAACTGTCTTTATTTGAAAAAATTCTAAAACTCCATTTTGAACATTTGAGAAGCAGAATGGAGAGACTCCCAAACTATCTTTCACCCTAAACAACAACTTTACTCAAGAGTGATTATAAGATGGATGTCTCCAGCAATGAATTGTTATATTTTACAGATACAGGTTTATTGCCTTGTGAGTGAGTTGTCTACCATTAACTCTGGTGGATAGTTGTCTCATTGGCAATTGTGCCACATATCTTTATTTTAATGTCTTGTTTATCTTATGTAATCTTTTTCAGCTTGAAGATGGAGAAATTGATGTGCGACTGAACTCATTCAAAGGATGTTTGTCTCAGCAATCCAATAATATATACTCCAAGATGAACAATATAGACTTGGATGGAAACTATGTTCCGAACTGAAAACAATATACAAAGACAGATATATGATATAACTGTGGTTGGAAACTTATGTTCCAAACTGACTCATATATACAGACAGATTTATAGCAAAGAATTGGAAGGAAACTAAGATCTATACCAAAGTTTACATAGTGATTTTATTCATTATTATCAGTAGATTCAGATTTAAAAGACTATTTTTAGAATGCCAATCTCTGATGATTTTGTTACTGATTTGTTAAACTATTAATAATGAAAAATACATCATGTGTTGTTTTTTAGATAAATAAAGATCATTTTGATATTTCGAAGATAAACTTCATAGTCCATATCAAAACATTGTCTATGTTCCAATCTATTTTGGTGAAATATACCTCCTAGTCATTGGAGAAACTGGTAACAATCAAATCAGATTTTATGGTACAAGTTTCTTCATTTTAAATGGAAGCTACATATGTATACAGTTCCTAATTAATCAGAAATGTGGCTTATAAATTCCTTTTAGAGCAAATACTGTCAGCATGATTAACGCATTTCTATATGTCAGTTTTATGATACAGTACAGTTTCTAATGAAAAAAAAACAGATTTATATGCCTCATAAAACAAATCCAATTCATAGACTAATACAATATTTATTTGTTTATATTCAACTATATTTAATAGTTCACCTGGTCTAAAAGATGAGTGTGAATGATGGTCATTACTTGGTGTGTGTTCAGGTTTATGTTATATCTTCAGGCTTAAAAGATGAGTGTGAATGATGGTCATTACTTGGTATGTGTTCAGGTTTATGTTATATCTTCAGGCTTAAAAGATGAGTGTGAATGATTGTCATTACTTGGTATGTGTTCAGGTTTATGTTATATCTTCAAGCTTAAAAGATGAGTGTGAATGATGGTCATTACTTGGTATGTGTTCAGGTTTATGTTATATCTTCAAGCTTAAAAGATGGAGTGTGAATGATGGTCATTACTTGGTATGTGTTCAGGTTTATGTTATATCTTCAGGCTTAAAAGATGAGTGTGAATGATGGTCATTACTTGGTATGTGTTCAGGTTTATGTTATATCTTCAGGCTTAAAAGATGAGTGTGAATGATTGTCATTACTTGGTATGTGTTCAGGTTTGTTATATCTTCAAGCTTAAAAGATGAGTGTGAATGATGGTCATTACTTGGTATGTGTTCAGGTTTATGTTATATCTTCAGGCTTAAAAGATGAGTGTGAATGATTGTCATTACTTGGTGTGTGTTCAGGTTTATGTTATATCTTCAAGCTTAAAAGGTGAGTGTGAATGATGGTCATTACTTGGTATGTGTTCAGGTTTATGTTATATCTTCAAGCTTAAAAGATGAGTGTGAATGATGGTCATTACTTGGTGTGTGTTCAGGTTTATGTTATATCTTCAAGCTTAAAAGATGAATGTGAATGATGGTCATTACTTGGTGTGTGTTCAGGTTTATGTTATATCTTCAAGCTTAAAAGATGAGTGTGAATGATGGTCATTACTTGGTGTGTGTTCAGGTTTATGTTATATCTTCAAGCTTAAAAGATGAGTGTGAATGATTGTCATTACTTGGTGTGTGTCCAAACAAAAAATCCACTGAAACTGACATTATCAATATGCTTGATTTCTTGACTGACAACATATTTGTTACAATTTGAGGACATGTTTTTCAACAAACAATCGACATTCTCTTGGAAACCAACTCGTCTCCATTTTTGTCGACTTGTTCCTTTATTCATATAAGGCAGACTTGCTTAAAATACAGAAAAACGAAAATAAGATTTTTCACAATTTTGTACTGTATACTGTCTTTTGGTCATAAAATGCTTCTATCTAAATTTCATAAAATTCCATAAAGGTTTGACAAAGTTATTGATGTCTTAATAATAATACTGTAATCGCAGACTGAGCCTAAATATTGATGCCGATGCCTACGCCGCCACTGACAATGGAATTCAGGATAGATATGTCTCGCTTTTTAACATAAATGTTGCAGGCTAAACAAAAAATAGTTACTATTGGACAAGGCTCTTTTCCTTGAAATATTACCCTTGCAAATGTAACCTATGTCGATGCCCAACCCAATTTGTTTAAAGCGAATGTCACACAAAAAGGTTGCTCTGTACATCATGGCTCTGGAGAAAGTTATATCAATATTGTTGTCTAAATACCTGCATTATGTGTTGTTCAGGGATCATATGTTGACTGTGGCAACTTTTCACTTGAGTTTAAGGATTGTTACCAAGACAGAACACCAAACAAATACAATATATTTCATTCATAAGATAAATTCAATTTTAGTAAATATATGCCATCTATATCACAAATAAACCCTGATGAATCACTTTAATTTAAACAAATGAATTTTTTATTGTCCAGCTCATCTTCTTCACTTATCAGTACTTTACTGTGTTTTCCATTTTTTTATATCACTATCATTCTGTCAGACATATAGTCTTTAACAAAAACATGACCATAAGTATCTGTACAAAGTCCTCTTGGTCCTCGCAAGCCCAGAAGTCATTTTGATATTCCCAGATCTGATTACCTGATACATAATAACAGTACACAGCTTCATTAAAAACACTTAATATCACTCTGTCATTACAGTATACAAAGTATTCCAAATATTTGTCAATAAGAACTTCTTTTGATTTCAGTGTGTTCCCTTCCAAGTCTATTATACAGATTTCGTCATTGTCATTAAAGTACAAATTTACAGCCAGAGAATGATTCGAGAAAGATATTCCATGGCATGCTTTGTCTTATTTAATAACCTTGTTACGGTTTCATTCTTCAAATTGTAGATTTTAATGGATTTCTCATTAGGATAAGAGATGGCAACAGTGTCAAGGTCGATCTGTGTGACACTGTTTTAATGGATTTCTCATTTGGATAAGATATGGCAATAGTGTCTTGGTCGATCTGTGTGACACTTTTAATGGATTTCTCATTTCGATAAGATATGGCAATAATGACTTGGTCGATCTGTGTGACACTGTTTTAATGGATTTCTCATTTGGATAAGACATGGCAATAGTGTCTTGGTCGATCTGTGTGACACTTTTAATGGATTTCTCATTTGGATAAGATATGGCAATAGTGACTTGGTCGATCTGTGTGACACTTTTAATGGATTTCTCATTTGGATAAGATATGGCAATAGTGTCTTGGTCGATCTGTGTGACACTATTTTAATGGATTTCTCATTTGGATAAGATATGGCAATAGTGTCTTGGTCGATCTGTGTGACACTTTTAATGGATTTCTCATTTGGATAAGATATGGCAATAGTGACTTGGTCGATCTGTGTGACACTTTTAATGGATTTCTCATTTGGATAAGATATGGCAATAGTGTCTTGGTCGATCTGTGTGACACTGTTTTAATGGAGTTTTCATTAGGATAAGATATGGCAATAGTGTCTTGGTCGATCTGTGTGAAATTTTTTATAGACTACTCATTTGGATAATATATGGCAATAGTGTCTTGGTCGATCTGTGTGACACTTTTAATGGATTTCTCATTTGGATAAGATAGGGCAATGGTGTCTTGGTCGATCTGTGCGACACTTTTAATGGATTTCTCATTTGGATAAGATATTGCAATAGTGTCAAGGTCGATCTGTGCGACACTTTTAATGGATTTCTCATTTGGATAAGATATGGCAATAGTGTCTTGGTTCTATCTGTGTGACACTGAATTATCCATCAGACATATCAAAGCACTAATACAATCTATACTGATCCGTTCCCTTAATGCTATCCATCAGACATATCAAAGCACTAATACAATCTATACTGATCCGTTCCCTTAATGCTATCCATCAGACATATCAAAGCACTAATACAATCTATACTGATCCGTTCCCTTAACTCCATATTTACTGCAATGTTGTTTATTGAATGACTTGGACAGTCAAACGGTTGTTTATCATAATTTGTTCTCGTAGAAAGATTATTCCTATATATACAAGTGTCAATGTTAACGGTCTTGTGATCACGTGATGGCTTGAATGTTATGTGATGTTTGGAACATGTGGAACATAATCCTTCAGCACAGTTATAACACCAGATGTCGGTGTTAAGACTTCACATTTCTCCCAAGACAGGGTCCACATTGTATTGGGGTTCCCGATGCCATTGCCTATAAAGATATCAAATTCATTATAGAATAACATATGATTATTTTCAAAAATCATCGGTTCTGATGGCTTCAAATTCTTCACTAGACTTTTTCAGAAAACAAAAAGCCACGAATTTAAGAACCCACGAACAAGCATATTAATTTGCCCTCTTCATGAAAAATTTGTAACATTTTGTTTTAAAAGATACAAGTGTATTACTCATCTTTATTTCATTTGGTAAACTGTTCCATATTTGAGAACCATAATATATAAAAGTTTTCTTCAAAAAATTTGTTTTTTGGCTTCGGAAGTTTTAATAGTTGTTCATCAGTTGAACGAAAATAATAATTTTCATTATATGTAAAATGAAAGTTTTCTCGTAAATAGTTAGGAACCATGTCCCCTGAAACATAATCCTTCAGCACAGTTGTAACACCAGATGTCAGTGTTAGACTTTACATTTCTCCCAAGACAGGGTCCACATTGTATACATGTATGCAAATCATTTGTTTTAGTAAGTTAAGTTATCATGAAACCACAATACAACATTTGTTAAATGTTATGTAACAGTTAAACTATATTTACTTGTATAATATACATGCAAATCATTTGTTTTACTGTCATAATATTTTAAAGAGTCCGTCTTAAACTTTGTTCATATTGGTTAACATCTGGACAAAAAATAATATATATTATGCGGCCTCTGATTAACATATAAAATAAATTATCCTTTTATTTAATTATATTCAGATTCATAATCATAATAGATCATAATACCTGAGCATTATACAATTATTTGATGTCTTTTACAATTCCTCCTTGATATTTCTAAGTTTAGGGGGACTAAAAGTTTATTCAAACACATTGTATTTGCTAACTTCCAGGAAAAGAAGGATGTGTTTATTTGTAGTCCTGGTAACATATTTACACTGTCATTTGAAAGATGAATTATTCCTGAATTCCTGTAAATATGAACAAAATGAGGAATGAGGGAAACCACAGCCGATGAGACAGCAACGAAACAAAATGTGTTGGAATAAATATATACTTACTTTCATAAATAAATGTGTTGCATATATCCGTGCATGACTATAAAAAATATCTCCCCTTTTCAACAACATATTTATCTTTTATAATAAATAAATTAGATTTTACTTGTAAGAAATGAAGT